TTTTTTATGAATAAAACCCCATAACTCGGAAACGTAAAATCTAAAATTTATAAAAATCCAAAGGGAGCTCATGTCAATAGATATAAACAATTAACCAAAATTTCTTGCAAGTTGGTGAAAGCATTCTTGAGTTATAGTCCGAAAACTGGAAAATCCCCCTTTTTTTAATGAATAAAACCCCATAACTCGGAAACGTAACATCTAAAATTTATAAAAAACGAAAGGGAGCTCACGTCAATAAATATAAACAATTCACCAAAGTTTTAAGCAAATTGGTTAAAGCGTTTTTGAGTAAATGTCCGACATGTTGACGACGGACGGACGGACAGACAGACGGACGTACAACGGTATACCATAATACGTCCCGTAAACGGGCGTATAAAAAACAATTTTGTATCAGTTGGTTATAAACTGAAAAGATGAGTTTTTTTGGTATTATTTCAAATTCATATTATGAACACAATCATGTAGAATTGTTATAGATCTGTATTTGACATTAGAGTTTTTTGTTTGTTTGAAGAATGCATTTAAAAGTTATTTTGATGACCCCAAGTATATTCTATGGTAAATTTTCCTTTATTTTTGACTTATTTACAATTCCAGTAGTATGACTGACGGAAAAATATATTTGACTAAATTTTATTCACCTAAAGTATTGATGTTTTCAGAAAATTTATGGAAAAAGGTAGCCAATAATCCGGTTTTTCATTTATTAAGAATGGTGGTAATATTTTTTTCTAAATATAAAAGATATAACATTTTTCCTGTGATTTCTTTGTTTGGTATAATAATTAGTTGATTTTGGAATTATAATAGTGCTTTAAAGACTTGTTATATTTTATTAAAGACATACATTTCCAGAGGTGACTATTACCAGTAGTGTCTGTGACCTGAGCACTTGCCTAACCAAATACAAATTAGAATGTAAAATTAAAATGTAAAACATTTCCAGTAGTTTTTTCACTTACCAAATAAGTTTTGTAAAAATTGAATATTATTAATTGAGGATAACAATTCTTTTTCAATTGTGCTGATCTCTATTTCTTACCCCAGGTGCAAACTTGGACTGTTCCCTTTATTGTGTTTAACCTGAACATATAGCTTAACTATATAGTATGCCCTTAAATCAGGAATTAAATTGTTTATAATTAAAATGAATTTTAAATCTGTTAATAAGATAGACACCATGTTTATAATTATGACGAAATTGTCTAATAGATTGGTTTGTAACCATGGAACAGCATCCACCATTTCTACAATCATGAGATACAAACAAAGAGCCCTCAATGATATTGTAAGGCAAGCTTTTTCTTCTTGTGGTGAGTGTAAGGCTCTTGCAATGGAATAAGGGATCTTCCTGGTGAGGTATCATCAACAAAACAGTAACATCTGAACTGGTTTTGCAGTCAATTTTACCATAATTAATCTGAAAAAGAACATTTTAAAGATACTTTATCTTTCAAAAAAATAACAACTTTAAATTTGAATTGTTTGCATAATTTATGATATTTTGCATCTTTTACAACAATTGATTAAGGTAGGTGTAAAAACTTTAAATTTCGATCTTAAAATTTAAAACTTTTAGATTCCAACCAATAAAAATCCATAAAAAAAAATCATTTATAAGCATTTATTAATGTATCTCTACCCCTTGGTATCAGTTTATTGTTTTAATTCTAAAAATGAACAATGAACTTATCAAAAGGAAAAATTTTCATTATTGAGTGATTTATCTGGGGAAATACATAATAGGTGTGTAACATCTGATTTTTGTTTTTGTTTTAAATCACCCGGAGATGCACAGATTAGTTTTTAAACAGACATGTTTATGTAATAATTTTTGATATTAACTTAGTGTTTTCATCTTAAATTGAACATGTTCATATCTCTAATATGGCAATCATTAGCTTGGAACTATTGGACAATGAACAAGCTCCGGGGTTTAATGGTATTCATCCTCATATTGTATTATTTCATACTGCACTCATTCTATTTGAGCAGTCAAAATGCGTTGACTGTATATTTCTTTGTCACATACCGTCACTGACCTGATATCACTTTTCCTCATAAATATTTACCTCTTCAACCTGTTACAATGATGCGTGGAACGACTCAAACTTAATTATTTCATATTTTGGAAAAACATATTTCATTTGTTAATAATATTTGTTTGAAATCTATAAATGATTTATGTATAGTTGATAATTTAGTCCATACTCAAACAAATTTGTTCACCATCGATTGAGGGTTTCAACAGGTAATGTACAGTTCACTGTGTTGCATATTTCTCCGCCTGATATGAGGCCTTTTAAAGGGCGATTTTTCACAATATTTGAATCAAATAAATAATATTAACACATTAAACAACAATTGAAAATGTTTTTTTCTAGATTGCAGAGCCTCGCATTTCCCTGTTTCTAAGCCTCATCCTTATATCGTTGAAATGTCAAGTCAATGCACTATTATTGTCTATCTATCATGATAAAAGCATGTGAGAAAATCACAGTGAACAAACTTGTCTGGAATAAAAAAAATGGCATACTTACATGGTCATCTAATTTAAAATAATAATTTCTCCAATGTTTAATTTACTTCCATCCTTCCTTTTCATGTTTCTGATATCGTCTCCTACATTTCTTTTCACTCCTATAATTTGTTCTAATAAAAATTGTAAAATGTCAATTTATTTAAGAAGACTATAATACATTTAAGTGATATCTGCTAAATTATTTAAGAATTCAGTTTTATTGTATAGAAAATGGTGTTAAGTGTTTCAAGAACAGCTGAACATATATTTCCTTTCATTCTTCCTTTTTAACTTATTTTTTATTGACTCATTAAAATACTATACTTTGACTTCTAATGATTTGACTTTTAATTGTTTAACATTACAGGTGCCATTAGTTAAGGAGAATAGGCTTACAATTCTATAGCATCTGATTTCAACTCCCAGTTTCTTGTGGGAAGTCATAATGCCTAAAACTTTAGCTTTCAGTGTTTTGGTTTATAAATTTATCCTGCAATTAGGTGTCTTATCATACATTAACAGCCCAACAGATATCAACAGGGTGTTCTGTTGTGCAGTTTCAGAGGAGCTGCGATGACAAACTGTTGCAGTAGTATATTGAGGCAAATAAGTTCAAAGGGGCATTACTCCTAGAAAAAAAAATTGAATCAATTTCTTGTCAATATGCACACCTTCAAAGTATGTCTTTATTATCTACCAGTTTCATGAAATTCTGGTGTGTGGTTTAGAGGAGTTGCGATGACAAGAACAGGACTGATAGACTGACATAAGGACAGACAACGGGTCAAAAACATGATACCCTCTGCAACTTCATTCAAAGCTTGTAGCAACTTTAAAAAAAAATTATTGTATCCAAAACTAAAATCCTACCATCTTCTTTCTGTGTCCTATTTCCCATTACAAAAGTTTAAATCCGTGGATGATTTATCTCTTCAATTGTCTGTTGTGCAGGTTGAACTCTGTAAAAAAATATATTACTTTTAGTTCCCCTGTATAAACTCGATCAATTCACTCACAAACAAATAAAAGTCTGAAGTTTGTGAGTGACTTGGTCCAGTTTCTACACCAATAAATTCCTTTAAAAGGTGTTTACTCCTTATTATAAGTTATATGGTTCGCTACTGACCCCTACCGATCCATAGAGGGTTAGTAAAATCCATAGGGGGTGAGGCCGGAGGCCGAATCACCTATGGATTTTATTCACCCTCTATGGTCCGTAGGGGGTCAATAGTTAACCGTATAACGAATTTATCGTTCGCTGGACTTTTTCTGCGGCATTTTACTGAAAAATAAACAATGAAACACAACAACAGTAATAGATGACGTCACCATAAACAGTAGATGTGACGTCATGAACCCCCTATGAAATTTACTAACCCCCTACGGATCCATAGGGGGTCACCACGTGACGGCTTTAAACCAATCAAAACGTGATAATTTACCCGCCGTGCGATAAAATTCTTTAGAATTGGAGATAAGGAATACATTTAACCATACTCATAACCCATATCACACGTAAATTCTATATTTGTGAAATTGAATAAGCCTAGCGCAAGAATATATATGTTGGTTAACTAAAATATATGTACTTCGTGAATTTGCTATCTGATAAAGAATAAACTACAAAAACTCTTATTATCATTCAAAAAAATGTTTTGTGTTTATTTTTTTATTTAACGATTAACGCTAAGTGAAAATAGATTTTGTTAACCTCGGTCCAGATTGTGTTATCATTGCCACCATCTTGTTTACATTGGTTATGAAAAGAAGTTAGGTCAATGTCGTCTATCGAAAAAAAAAAACAACATTAAAGAACAGCTACTCGAAGTTTTCTCGACTAATATCAATGTATTCCCAAATATGCAAATCATATAAGAATTATCACATGATAAATGCTGTCCTATACCTTTTCCCATTTCAAAACCATGTCCCACTGTCAATGATATGGCAAACTTCCTCAACATGAGCTAACTTCAAAGCTGTGTCTTTGTTGGCATTGTGGTGGTTTGTAATGCTCTGAAAATGTTTGACTATACCACACCAGCTTTCCCCTGTCTCTAAAATAAAAAAAATAATTATACAATTGTAGGTAAATTGAAAAATATGTCAAATTAATAAGTTGCATTATATAACATTCAGTTCTTAATTTTTACAATTCTGTGTGGTCTGAGTTGTCTTTTTGTCTCTTCATCTTATACATGTCTTTCAACAATTCCGGATATTTTTTTTTTACTTTTCTCAATTTTGAATTTTTTCAATTTGAAAATCGTTTTAACAATTACTTGACTACATGCTTTTATATGCTGGAATATCAATCCTGTTAAAATTCAACCAAATTGTAGTTTGTTTTAAAAAAAAATCAACTGATAAATTAGTACTAAAAAATCCAAACATCTTGAAAAGCAAATTAACAAATAATCAACAGCTAGGTGTATAAAAATAACATTTATTAACTTTTACCAATAGTATAACCTATAGGGACCCCATGAAGTCTGATTTGTTGCTCAGTATGGAGATTATGGTGTATTTTCTGTTTTTTCAATGTTTCTGGAAACTGCTTGTAAATGTTTTCATTAAATTGGTACTGCAGATCACCCAGCCTAGTGAGTTCCGATTCCAGCAATTTCATTTTGTTACTCAACTGAACAATCTGAAAATATAAATATAATAATAATTACTAATGAACCACAAACCCAGTGCTGACATGAATATTAATTATATGGTCATATGTATAAATTAATTGTATGAAAAAGTATGAATTATTTGAAATACGAAGTATTTTCTTATCCCAGGCATAGATTACCTTAGCCGTATTTGCCACAACTTTTAAGAATTTTGGGTCCTCAATGCTCTTCAGCTTTGTACTTGTTTGGCTTTTTACTTATTTTGGTCTGAGCATTACTGATGAGTCTAATTTGCTCTAAATGCTTTGGTTTCAGAGATATAAGCCAAAATCTATATTTTACCCCTATGTTCTATTTTTAGCCATGGCGACCATCTCGGTTGGTTGGCCGGGTCATCGGACACATTTTTTTAAATTCGATACCCCAAGGATGATTGTGGACAAGTTTGGTTCAATTTGGCCCAATAGTTTCCGAGGAAAAGACTTTTGTAAAAGTTAAGACAACGGACGACAGATGCCAAGTGATGAGAAGAAAGGTCACTTGGCCCATTGGGCCAGGTGAGATTAAAACACATTACTATAACACCAGAGACCATAATTCTGTAACTTTTAGAACCAGAACTAAATGCAAAACTTTAAATCAAACATAAAATCAGTATCTTTAAGCACGAAAAAAAAATTATGGAAAGCTCATACATAAGTTATTTAAATAATAATTTGTGTCACAGTAAGTACTCATTGAAATAGTAAATTATGTGTTAAGCAAACATCAAACTTTACTGTATACTGCATAACTAAACTATTGTTTAGCAACAAACACCAAGAGATGATATGCTAGTTTTCATATGTAATGTATACCTATAAGGGTTTACTTTTATAAATTATTACTTGGATGGAGAGTTAAATTATTGTCTCATTGGCACTCATACCACATCTTCCTATATCTATCTACAAAGAAAACTAGGCCAATAAGTGCCTAATTTTCTGGAAAGAAGTAAATAAACAACATAAGGTCAATGTCAGAAAAATATAAACTTTTTTGTATGAGGCTGAGAAACTGGGGAAGGGTGCAACTTAAACTAATACAATGATAGCTTTTTAAATTGTAACACAAATGTCCAACTTATTTTCATCTCTTAATGAACCACTGATTGTGGAGAAAGTGTTCCATGATGAAATTGACACAGTTATCGTCCTTTGGTTTTCGTTGTCTACAAATATAGTCCCTAGTGTGAACAGTGTATAACTTGCATTTTTTTTTTATACACTTTCCCAATTTATTTCTTGATATTTTATGCATGAAATATTAAGTAAGGGGATGAAATTACATGTTAATCAAAGAGCTGAAAGCTCTGAGGAAAAATGACGCCACTGTCTCTAATATTGTGATATTTTTTATGCAAGTCTTGATTTTCACATACCGTAATAAGTTTAACATTGCAACATGTCTCGTAAGTATATAATTGATATTCGTATATGTGTCTGTTTTTTTCAGTACAAATGAATAGGTCAAGACTACCTGAATGATCTACAATATCCAATGGCTACTGGCTGTTCTTTTGTACTAATTAAAATTGGTCAAGTCTTTCTATCCTATTAGGTCCAAGGACACAGTTATCGTCCTTTGGTTTTCGTTGTCTACAAATATAGTCCCTAGTGTGAACTGTGTATAACTTGCATTTTTTTTTGATACACTTTCCCAATTTATTTATTTATATTTTATGCATGAAATATTAAGTAAGGGGATGAAATTACATGTTAAAAAAATTTGGGTGCTGAATCTTTATGTTAAGTAGTGATTTGATCCAGTTAAAAAAGGTCAAAAATTAGAATGTCTGAAGCTGTCAAACTGAATTTTAGCCCCCCTTAACACAGAATTGTCAATATTTTGAGTTAGAGCTGGTAGAAGTTCCTATAATTTTGATATTATTTGTATCAATAGTAGTACACTACACTGTAAAAATCTTTTTAAGATAGAGCAGGTGCGATTTTTTTAATTTGAATTTATTGTCTAAAAGAAATGCACTACGAAATAACTGTGTTCTCGGGCCACAAACTATAGCTGTGTTACTTTATTTAAGAAATAAACACAACTAGTTGCAGTATAAATGAGAATATTTTCCTAAGAATGCTTCCTTTTGCTTATTTAATATAAAACAATTTATCAAAATAGTTATGATACTTGTAAGATAGTTGAACCTGTTAGTTTTACCTACCTCAGACAATAGACACCAAAGTTTTACTATTTCTTTACTAAATCCTGCGTGATGAACTGTAAAGGGTGCAAGTTGTACCTAGATTTAGAAATAAAAATGCTCTATGCTCTATATTAAATATACATTTATGCAGTATTTTTATTATTTCAAACAAATACTGCATATGGTAACACTATTTTACTTGTTGATCGATTAGTTAAAATAGTTACAGATTACAATATGTCTATATAGTTTAATCATTGGATTAAAAACAAAAGATATTTATAGATTATCGTTGATCATCTCAAGAGATTGATTTTCTTGCTTCAGCTGGACGGGGAAAGTAAGATAAGCAATTGAGTTGAGATGACCAATGATAATCTCTTTATCGCTATTTAGCCTATGAAGATGTTGTTAATTTCCTGGACAACAGCACATGTTCCCTTAATTTCTAGCGATAATTTTCATCACTCAACTCTATTTTCGTATCACTGACGACTCCGCTGAGAAAGGAAATTATCAGTCAACAAGATCAAAGGAAAATTCGTAAAATAGCAATAACAGTATATATTCTGGAAAACTGGAAAAAGCAAGGGTATATCAGATGGTTTTTTTAACCCTAATTGGAACCTCAACGTACATTAATTGTTACTATGATACAGTTCCAAATGTGTAAGATGTTATTTGCCATAGGTTTCATGGATAGATGCAAAGTGATGATTATGACAGTCACAATAGTTTACATGGTCTGTTTCTGGATTCAACTGCAATTTCCCATGCATTGCTAAGTAATAAGTAACACTCAATTGAAATCACCAATCCACAACTGATTCCAGATTTCTATATAAAACATATAATTCTTTAATGGATTCAGCAATTTAATGAGTTGGCACTTACAAATGACCTGAAGTCTTTCCCTTGGCTTGATTTGTGATATTTCACAAAGTTTTCTCCACATTTGTGATGAAAGCCCTTCCAGTCAGCTGCATTTAACGTTAGCTGTAAATTTTTCCTGTAAGAAAGAACCAGAAGTATTAAAAGAACCAGAATTATCTTCAACTATCCTTAGCCAGCAACAAAACGGTTTTGATTATGCAATCTTTACCAAAAATGTTTTACCAAAGATTGATCTTAAAGTGTGCTGTGATACAAAACACTTCATAAATTTAAATACAATGTATAAACATTTCATAAAGATAAGCTGGCTTTTTATCAGCTGGAATTCACAACTGTATTCTACAATTTTCCAATAATAGAGACAATTACTCAGGATCCATTAAAAGTAAAGGGAATACATATTGTAAATTCGCCTAATCAGAATCTAAAGGACTATGGGTAATCTCATTGTTCGTACACCAAAATGAAAATAAAGTCACGTCATTGGTTGCATTTCTATTGTTTATCACGTTTTAAACCAATCACAACGTTTTGGCGTACGCTATTGTAAATATTACCCAGAATGCATTAGATTCTAAAACGGTATTGAACTTATTCTAACATTTGCATAGCTCAGTCCAAAAGTCTCAATGGTTAAGTTCAAATATGTATTTCATATTTCATAATTTGTTTCTTTAATGGACAATAGTATATGTCAATTTGATTTCAATGTATGTTCAGTAAATAATAATTAATAAATATAAAAAAGAAGATGTGGTATGATTGCCAATGAGACAACTCTATGCAAGAGACCAAATGACACAAAAATAAACAACTATTAGGTCACTGTACGGCCTTCAATAATGAGTAAAGCCTATATATACACATTAACTTATGATCAATAATCATTAAAATTGAGTTAATTTTTACATTTATAATTTATAACTTGCTTTCATAAATGTAAGTTGCAGATGTGTCAGTATAATAACATGTTTTCCATATGAAAGAATTTAACAACATTATGTGCCATTATGTGTTTGACCCAATAGAAATAATAAACATTTGATGCTTCAAAAAATTGTGGTTATAATGCACCAATAGATACCATAGCTTGGTGTTGAGATTAGGATTAAGAATTTGAATCACACTAATTAATTTTACTTAGAACATAGACCTGTGAAAAAAAAATTATATTGTAGGCATCCAAAAGAAATAAATCAGCTAGACTATTACATAAATAAATTTTATAGTATTTAAAAGAATGATTAGCATTAAAACAAAAGATATCAAGTCACAATTACCTTCTGCTGGTCAGTACAGTTGCCTAGCATACATTTTAATAGGATTGCAACTTCTCCTAAGTATATGCAATGAAGCATATCTGGAGGAATGTCCCTGAAATTATAATTAAAAAGAAAACAATAATTAAACAGTGCAGCTGGTTGTTTAGCTTTAGTAAAACTGTGGATTTCTTGATATCATATGTGATACCTATTGTAAGAATATTTTTATTGCAGTTTTATTATAAATTATTGATTAAATCAATAATGAATCTTGATTTAGGTGTAACAAATTTACAGAATACAAATATATATGGTTCTTAAATTAACTACCCTTCACCTGTACCTTATGATTTATTGTAAACATTACCGTAATCCACAACTTCTGTCTCAGAAAGTTAGACATAGGGATAGTGATCCAGCGGCGGCAATGCCAACTAACTTTTTAAAAGCTTTATGATCTAAGAAGTTGGAAGACATGCATGTTTCATACTTTGTTTATGCCTCATGTTCATAAGCTTTTGCCTGTCATACGTCCATTGTCCTTAACCTCACTTTCATGGTTCAGTGATTATTTGAAAAAAAAAGTTCAGATTTTTTGTAATGTAAACAATTGGCAGAGCTCAGCATTCTCAACATTCCTGTGTATGTGTGGGCCTCACAATATATATGAAGTGTGCATGTCCAAAGCTAAGTTTCAATTTTCAGTGCATGTAATTGTTTTTGCTTCTTGTATATATGATTTTTTGTAATGTAAACAATTGGCAGAGCTCAGCATTCTCAACATTCCTGTGTATGTGTGGGCCTCACAATATATATGAAGTGTGCATGTCCAAAGCTAAGTTTCAATTTTCAGTGCATGTAATTGTTTTTGCTTCTTGTATATATAACTATAAAATGATTATATATTGTAATTCTAATAATGCTTTCACACCATATATAATAATATATAATAAAGTCATGCATACCTGTGTGGATCCCAATGAGCAGCTTTTTTTCATTTCTTCAGCCAATATTTTCTTTTTTATCCCAGTCATTGTTGATGTTTCTGTACTATTTTCAATCTCTTTTAGAATTTCCTCAGTTTTATTTTTTGTTCTTAATTCTCCAATAAGTAAGTGGTTATTTCGATACTGACAAAAAAAGGAACAAGATAAAATATATATGATTAATTTTTAGTCATTGGGTTTTTGTAAAAAAAAAATGTGATCCAATTCAAGACCATAAAATATAGGACCTGAATAAATTAGCAGACTGGGAACATTGATGGCTCATAAAGTTTAATGCAGACAATTCTAATGCAATTTTTATGTAACAATTTTTTTCATTGGCTAAAAGTTACCATCAAATCCACAGTTGACCAGGCGTAACTAAGGAGGGACCCGCCATTTTGAATTGATTGAATCAATAAATGTTCAATTACTAATATCATCGAAAATAAAACAACACCTACCTCGAATTCACCGTTTCAATGTAATTTTATCCGAATTTGAATCGCAGAGGTAACGTAATAACGTCCAGTTTGTAAGTTTTCATTTGTATGACGTCACGTTTAGCCATGACGTCTTCGAGCCAAAATCATTCACTAAGTTTCGCAGAATTTATTTTGTATGTCAAATTTATACATTTTTTCAAGCTTTAACGTATTATTTCTTTTTGTAATGTATTAGAATCTGAATAACAGTACTGTAGTTAAAGAGTTGCCACCGTTAATTTTGATTTGAAGGCCGCAAATCTCCGTTTTACTGTCTCCGCTAAGCGTCACCAGTAAAACTACATTTGCGACCGTCAAATGGACAATTGACGGTGGCAACTTTTCAACTACAGTACTTTTATTCCTTAAATGCAATGTCATTTCTATCAGCAAGAAATGATAATGATCAAATTCAAGGGGAGATAATAAATATTTAAACAGGTTGTTAATGCAAATCAGTCAGTTTCAGTGCTATTTTGTGAAATATCAAGAAAAGTTTTGACGTATATTTACAATTGGTAGAGCTAAACATTCTGAACATTTTTGCCCCTTTCAGATTTTCAATATTTATAACAGCTTCAAAATAATAAACAAAACTTGCTTTTTACCCTTATGTTCTATTTTCAGCCATGTAGGACATGTTGGTTGGCAGGTGGGGGTCATCAGACACATATCTTAAAACAAGACACCCTAATAATGATTATTGCCAAGATAAGTTCAATTTGGCTAAATAGTTTCATAGAAGAATTTTGTGAAAGTTTAAGAACGATGGCAGAAATTACCAAGTGATGGCCATGAGAGCTAAAAGAGGATTTTAGTTTTTGGACAAGTAACCCAAAAGAGCTTTAAGCAGTGTTCATGAACTTTTGGGAACTGTTTATAGCTATTGACATGAATTTCATATTGTATAAGTCATAGATTTAAAACTGTGTCCTGTAGACCTAGCTTATTTCAACAGAAGAAAAAAAGAAAACAATTTATCATATGTCAATAAACCTTTATAATATTACACAGCAATGGAAAAAAGGAAACCTGAGACTATTGTTGACTCAGATACTATTTATCAGTGATAATATTTATCATTAATTGTCTTACCCTGCAAAATCTACAGTTTTCTTTAGCTGCAGCACCCATGTGGTGACAAAATTCTGAGGCCATACTGTTGTCCATTAACCCAACTGCTATTTGGGATGTTACAATAACATTTTTATTGTAAGCTGCATCATACATTACTTTTCCTTCACTAAAATTTAAATACATTGATCAAGTTTGGGATTTCATGTATTCTGATTTGACTCAAAATTCTCATATTTGATTTATAACAATGTAAAATATTTATCCAAATTATAAAAATTCTAAAATAAACAATATAATAGCTCGATAATATGTAGCTTCATTTCTTGTGTATTTTAGTCTAGGCGCCATATAAATAACTGTCAATTGGACCACTGATAATAAGCGATATAAATCATAGCGCTATAGACAGTTAACCAAAAATCAATGCAAACAATTTGAAAGAACAAACATTAAGCATTCATTGTACATAGATATAGGAAGATGTGATATGAGTGCCAATGAGACAACTCTCCATCAAAATCACATTTTATAAAAGGAAACCATTATAGGTCAAGGTACAGTCTTCAACACAGAGCCTTGGCTCACACCGAACAGCAAGCTATAAAGAGCCCCAAAAAATGAATAGTGTAAAATCATTTAAACATGTATATTTATTTAATGAATTGATTAAGGCAAATTAATTAATATTTTTCAATTGATTTGTTTTATTGTCCTATACAAGTATATATATGGTTTAGGTGGGGATCGGGCCCATAGTGTTCTAGTTAACCATTCCCTTATTCAGGCCCCTTAAAATACCCCTAAATAGACCCCAATGCACAAACGAGAGATCGATGACTCCGCGAGACATGTTATTGAGTTCTTTTCAATGTTTGTCTCTGTTCAACCTAAATCTGATCAGATAGAGATGAAGTACTAGCCATTAGCAACTACCACCTTACAGGTGTTGCTCTACACTGACCCTCTCTTATAAAAATATACACATCAAAGAGTCTTTTTCTTGAAAGTATTTTTTTTTTCTATTTTGCTAATTAATGTTTACACTTACTAAAACATGTCATTCAAATCATTCACCACAGGTGTAACGAATGACCCGTCTTCTGGTTTTGTTACTCCAATGAAATGATGTGATGATTTCTTCATCTTTTCAGAAGTTGGTAATCCTGCCAACTGAAGAGTCCACACACTTAATGGGTTCCATTTTTTTGACCTGTATAATGTTTATATAAGTAATTGTCTTATACAGTCTAATGAAGTTTATGTAAGCAATTGTAGGCTTGTGTACACAGCTTTGATCAGGTTG